TGCCCACCTCAGAGAGATCTCTGAGCCTCTGGAGGTCAGACTGTTCATTTATTTATATAAAGTCAGGTTAGAAGACACTATTTCAATACTGATTTGCTTTGCTCTTTTTCTAACAAGGGCAGCTTTGAAAGGTTAATGGTGTCTCCTGTGTTTTTGATTTCTACAGTTTTATTTTTTAAAAGATGCATGTTTTTATTATGCTGCTTCTTCACCATTTGCTGCTGATAAAGCCAGCTATAAATCATATATTAACCCAACTAAATTCTATACTGGTCTACCAAAAGCTGCAGAGTTGCTTAAAAGGAAAGCAACAGCCCCAGTTTGTGGTTAGAACCTGCAATAGCAAGCAGGCTATTAAATGGTTGAGGAATGCTGGGAGTTGTAGTTTAGTAACCACCAGAAGTCTATAGAGCAGGGGTGAAATCCAGCAGGTTCTGACAGGTTCTGGAGAACCAGTAGTGGAAATTTTGAGTAGTTCGGAGAACCGGCAAATACTGCCTCTGGCTGGCCCCAGAGTGGGATGGGAATGGGGATTTTGCAGTATCCTTTCCCCTTGAGTGGGGAGGGAATGGAGATTTTGCAGTATCCTTCCCCTGGAGTGGGGTGGGAATGGGGATTTTGTAGTATCCTTCCCCTGGAGTGGGGTGGGAATGGAGATTTTGCAGTATCCTTCCCCTGGAGTGGAGTGGGAATGTATATTTTGCAGTATCCTTCCCCAGGAGTGGGGAGGGAATGGGGATTTTGCAGTATTCTTCCCCTGGAGTGAGGTGGGAATGGGGATTTTGCAGTATTCTTCCCCTGGAGTGGGGAGGGAATGGGGATTTTGTAGTATCCTTCCCCAGGAGTGGGGTGGGAATGGAGATTTTGCAGTATCCTTCCCCTGCCACGCCCACCAGGCCACGCTCACCAAGCCACATCATGCCCACCAAGCCATGCCCACAGAACCGGTAGTAAAAAAAAATTGGATTTCACCACTGCTGTAGAGTCCTCAGTCCTGAAAGGCCTCTTGTGCTCCACCATAGAGAAGCTGCTGAATTTATAATACAATTAAGTAATTTAGATCTGTGTTCCTCGATTTTGGCAACTTTCAGATGTATAGACTTCAACTCCCAGAATTCTTTAGCCTGGAGAATTCTGGGAGTTGAAGTCCACATATCTGAAAGTGGCCAAAAATGGGCTTTCAGGAAACCTTCTTTAGATGCTAAATCCTATTTAGTCCCTCGGCCTGCTATCATAAGGGAGCCCTTCCATTTATGTTTTGATATAATTTCCTTGCTATTGTATAAACATAACTTTGACTTTACTTCTTAGTCACCTTAAAGTAATGGTAGGCCTTTTTTTGAATCAGAGACACCTCTGAATTCTGAGAGAATGAGATGGGCACGCTCACAAAATGGCTGTCACAAGATACTCATCTGTTCACAAAATGGCTTGAGGGGCTGCCACAGAGAGGAGGGGGTCAAGCTGTTTTCCAAAGCACCTGAAGGCCGGACAAGGAATAATGGATGGAAACTGACCAAGGAGAGAAATTCAACCTAGAAATGAGGAAGAACTTTCTGACACTGAGAGCAATCAACCCATGGAACAGAAGTTGCCTTCGAAAGTGGTGGGAGCTTCATCGCTTGAGACTTTCAAGAAAAGACTAGACTGTCGTTTATTAGAAATGGTATATTCTCACCCTAGTGAATATAGAGTCTGGGGGAAGCTAACCTAACTCTTTTCCTTTGACTTCTTGACAGTTGAAGGCTGTGCTGCCTCTTGTCTTGACTCCTTTCTGAATTGTGCTCCCTCCTTCCTAGGAATTTACTGCTTCACTGTAGTCCGTTGCACCAGATATCCCTTTATAGGCAGCATCTCTCTCTCTCCCTCCCTCCCTCCCTCCCTCCCTCCTCTATCTCTCCACCTGTCTGTCCAAACATCCCTTCATCAATATGCCCATCCTCTCCATCCATCCATCCATCATCTACCTTATTCACTCACCTCTCCATCCATTAATTAATCCATCCATCATCAAATATGTATCCATGTATCCATGTATCTATCATCGATCTATCTATCTATCTATCTATCTTTCTATCTATCTATCTATCTATCTATCTATCTATCTATCTATTCACCCATCTTTTCACTCATGTCCATCCATTTATCAATCTGCCTATCCTCTTTCTATCCCTCTATCCAGCCATCCATTCTATACTACCCATCTTCTCACATCATCAATCCACCAATTCTCTCTCCATCTGTCTGTCTATCTCTCTTATCTAGTCACCCATCTCTTCATTCATCTGTCTATCCATCCATCCATCCTTTCCTCTTCTTCCCTCTCACCCAGCTACCTGAGAGCCATACTGGATGAGGCTGAGATTTTCAAAGTTTTCATTGAAGTCGAGATTCCATGTTTAGACCAAAGCCCTTTTGACTTTGCTTGCTGTCTCGTTTTTCCAGACCTGAAATCAGATTCATACTGTTTGTACGTCAGCTTGAGAATGTTTAAAAACTTCATAGAAAAATGAGTATTGCATTTTTCTTAATAGCAGAGATGAGAAAAATGAGGCAATTGGACAATGGAACAGTCTGATTCCATTCCATCTTCATAATGTGCCAATCCAAGGGTTTCTGGAGGGGGGGGATCATTCCTGCAGTTCCCAGAAGTTTATTCACCAGAATAGGAAATGGTTCAGGATCCTATTTCTTAGTCCCATTTCTGTGGCTGGATCATCCTGTTTTGCATAGCCTTATTTCAGAGATGCAGTATTGTTCACAACTTCCCCCAGTAAAATACATTTTTGTGCAAGTATACATTCCACCTTTGTTAGTTTTATAAATAACTCTCAAGGCAGTGAACATAACTAATACTCTTTCTCCCCCTATTTTTCCCACAACAACAGCCCTGTGAGGTGGGTAGGGTTGAAAGGGAGGGATTGGCTCAAAGTCACCCAGCCATCTTTCATGCCTAAGGCGGAACTAGAACTCACAGAATCCTGGTGATTGGATTGAAGTGGGACTAGAACTCACAGTCTCCTTTTCAGGCACCTATTTTTTTTTGAACCCACTCCCCATAATGGAAATGTCCCCTGATGCGTTTTGTCTACGTATAAAAAACTGGCAGAAATTTTTTTAAAGGGAGCCTCCTTTTTTAGCCATGTCTCCATGATGTTTCTTTTGTGTCATTCCCAGCCCAGGAGTAGAAACAGACTGATATTATAGGTGTAAGGTTTCCTGCCTAAGCAGGGGGTTGGACTAGAAGACCTCCAAGGTCCCTTCCAACTATGTTATTCTATTCTATTCTTATCCTAGATACCCTGGCATCAATGTTATATTTTCCTCCTTATGCTGACACTTTGAAAGGGCAGCCTCAAAGGATTTTATAAACTTCAGAGTTTATAGTAAACAGGGCCATCTCAGGGAAGGGGCAATATAAGAAGTCAAGATGGTGGCCACCATTGCCATCTTGACTTTTCTGACCTTCGTTGAGGGTGCCTTTTTGTTTGACAGGAACCAGTGATCTGGGACTGACTCTGAACAGGGTCGAATAAGCAGGACAGGAGTGGGGCTGTTTAATGCCAAATTGGAGCAGAAAAGTTTGCAATGCCAACACCTGCGAAATTGCCAATCTCCAGGTCTCTCTTGCAGCCTCAAACAGTCAGAAGAGAAGAAGAGAATAACAGAGTTGGAAAGGACCTTAGAGGTCTTCTAGTCCAACCCCCTGCTCAAGCAGGAGGCTCTATAGCATTTCAGTTAAATAGCTGTCCAATCTCTTCTTAAAAACCTCCAGTGATGGAGCACCCATAACTTCTGGAGGTGAGCCTTTCCACTAATTAATTGTTCTAACTCTCAGGAAATTTCTCCTTAATTCTAGGTTGGTTCACTCCTTGATTAGTTTTCATCCATTACTTCTTATTCTATTCTATTCTATTCTATTCTATTCTATTCTATTCTATTCTATATTCTATTCTATTCCATTCATCCCATTTTCTCTATTCTATTCTATTCTATTCTATTCTATTCTATTCTATTCTATTCTATTCTATTCCATTCCATTCCATCCATTTTCTCTATTCTATTCTATTCTATTCTATTCTATTCTATTCTATTCTATTCTATTCTATTCTATTCCATCCCATTCCACCCCACCCCATCCCATTTTCTCTATTCTATTCTATTCTATTCTATTCTATTCTATTCTATTCTATTCTATTCTATTCTATTCTATTCTATTCCATTCCACCCCACCCCACCCCACCCCATCCCATCCCATCCCATTTTCTCTATTCTATTCTATTCTATTCTATTCTATTCTATTCTATTCTATTCTATTCTATTCTATTCCATTCCATTCCATTCCATCCCATCCCATCCCATCCATTTTCTTCTATTCTATTCTATTCTATTCTATTCTATTCTATTTATTCTATTCTATTCTATTCTATTCTATTCCATTCCATTCCATTCCATCCCATCCCATCCCATCCCATTTTCTCTATTCTATTCTATTCTATTCTATTCTATTCTATTCTATTCTATTCTATTCTATTCTATTCTATTCTATTCCATTCCATCCCATCCCATCCCATCCCATCCCATCCCATTTTCTCTATTCTATTCTATTCTATTCATTCTATTCTATTCTATTCTATTCTATTCTATTCTATTCTATTCTATTCTATTCTGTAATTCTATTTTATTCTATCCATCCTATCCCATTTTATTCTATTCTATTCTATTCTATTCTATTCTATTCTATTCTATTCCATCCCATCCCATCCCATCCCATCCCATCCCATCCCATCTCATTTTCTCTACTCTACTCTACTCTACTCCACTCCACTCCACTCCATCCCATTCTATTCTGTTTTCCGGCGCTTTGGACAATAAGTTGACCCCTCCCACCCCCGCCTCTTCTGTGTGGCAGCCCCTCAAATATTGTAACACTGCTATCATGTCACACATACGCACACACACACACACCAGTCCTTCTTTTCGTTAAACTAACCAGACTAGACACATACAGTCCTGTACACTCAAATTCCTGCCACCGGTTCCATCGTCCTTGAAATTAAAAGCAGGATCCGTTAGGGGGCAGGAGAGAGCTGGATTTGCAAGGCGGAGCAGAAAAGCCACCCTTTTCCTCAATAGAGGTCATGGGATCTTATCTCGGTCGGGCGTGGTGCTGCCTGCACCGCCAGAGCATCACCCAGCTGAATGGAGGAACCTCCCGGGTGGGGGGAAAGATTCTGAGCTATGACCGGGGAAACTTCTTTTGACGGCTCAACAACCTTCCTTGCATCTGGGGGGCTCCGATGCATCTGCTAGTCCTTCTGATCCAGAGATCTACAATTGTCACTTTAAAGGATTACTCTGGGGCTGCAGCCGAGCGAACAGAATCCTCCGAGTGGAGCTGACGATTCCCAACTTCTCACCGAAGCTCTCCACTTGCAGCATCTTCCTGCAAGGACTGAAAGAGGGAAGGAAGGAAGGAAGGGAAGGAAGGAAGGAAGGAAGGAAGGAAGGAAGGAAGGAAGGAAGGAAGGAAAGATAGATTTTTCTGATCCTCCCTTGAAATCCTCCCATCCGGCTGTGCTGGAAAGGCAGTGGATTATGGCTCTACAGAAGCAGGTGGAAAGTTGACCTACTCTGCAGGGTTGGTTTCCCAAGGCAGCCACCAAGTACCAAAAGGAGGCAGGAGGAAACTATTTGCTGAGAAATAATAATAATAATAATAAAAAAAGGATAGGTGAACATCTGGAGAGGGAGCGGTGCCATTTTCACCTGCAAGGGCTAATCCTTACCCTCTGAGGGTTTTAAAAGCCCCCTTTTTAAGGAGGCTGAGAGGGGACATTGAGGCTATGAAGATGGCAGCATCTCCAGCGTGAAGCTGCCGATTAATCTGCACCCACCTTATATTCTAGCCGGAAGAAAATTTGGACAATGCTATTGTGAATCCTCTTGGATAATCCTCGAAATTGCTTCTCCAAAAAAGCCCTCCCCACTCCGCCCCCTTTCTCTCTCTCTCTCTCTCTCTCTCTCTCTTTTATTTCTCCATCTGCAATGTGATCAGAGGAGGAGGAGGAGGAAGAAGAAGAAGAGGTGGGGGAGGAAAGAAAGAAAGCACAAGAAAGCACAAGGAGAGCTTTCTTCCCTGTTCCAGGATGCTCACTTCTAAACCTCTGGAGGAGGAATATTGGATTGAAGGATCCCGAAGACAATCGGCTTTGCAGGATTTCTATCTTATGGGACCGGAGCTGGGCAGGTGAGGCTGGGCGTTTAAATCTCTTTGGTGCCTTGTGATGCTGTAGGAGGCTTTGCAAAGTGGAAAAGAAAAGGAGGGTCACGGAAGCCCCAAATAAATGATCTTCTAAAACAACGGTGATTTTTTTTTTCCTGCTCAAGAAAAGGAAGACTTTTATAGGAAATAAAAGAAATATAGGATGTTTCCCTCTCTCTGCCTTCCACCTGCAGAGTTCGACTCTAAATTATATTTCTTGGAAAGATACACAAGTAGTCCTTAACTTACGATCACCGTTGAGCCTCAAATGTCTGTCGTTAAGCGAGACGATTAAGCGACTTTGCTCATTTTACAACCTTTCAGGCACTGCTGTTGAGTGAATCACTGCAGTTCAGTTAGTAACAGGGTTGTTAAGTGAATCCGGCTTCCCCAGTGACTTTGCTTGTCAGAAGGTTACAAATGTTGATCACATGACCCCCCCGCCACTACAACCGTCATAAATATGAGCCAGTTGCCAGGTGTTCAAATTTTGATCTCGTGACCGCAAGGGATGCTGCAACGGTTGTAAGTGTGAAAAGGGGTCATAAGTCACTTTTTTTCAGTTGCTGTGGCTAAGTTTGAATGGTCACTGAATGGTTGTAAGTAAAGAACTACCTGTGTCAGGTGGAGTTCTGCTGAAGCAGCCCCCATGTAAAAGAAATACAATTTTAAATATTTTTGAAATAACGTACAGCTGCTTGGGTTTGTGTTTCTTTGTTTATTTTTTGTTCTGGTAGTTCCAAAATTTCAGTTCAGCTTCAGTTCAGCCTTTTGAACAGTCCTTGATAAACTCATCCACTTCAGGCAGGGGAAACTAATCTGAAATTTAAGGGAAGCAGAGTTCTACAAATGTTGGGGATGAATTAATCCTCATTAACCTTGCAAAAATCATGACTCGATTATCATCTTCAAGGAGGTAGAACAGAGGTCTTCAAACTTGGCAGCTTTAAGACTTGTGGACTTTAAGACTTGTGGACTTCAGCTCCCAAAATTCTCCAGCCAGCTATGCTATGCTATGCTGGCTGGAGAATTCTGGGAGGTGAAGTCCACAAGTCTTAAAGCTGCCAAGTTTGAAGACCTCTGAGGTAGAAGAATGGGAGGTGGATGGGGGGGAGGGCAAAAAGTCAACGTAGCAGCTACAACCTGAAGCCCCACCTCTTCTTCTACACGCATCAATTTAGTTTCATTTAATTTCAATTAAAATTAAGCTCAATTACCAGGGCAATGATTACCCTCAGTGGACTTCAAATTCTTCCTTTTGGGCATCCCCTTAAAAATCACAATTGTGGGGAAAGCTTTGGGGGTTCATCCCCGTAGTTGGGGAAGAGAGCGTTGAAATCTCGCATTAAATCCCCAATCTCAACCCCGCCAGACAGATAGATAAAACGCTTAAGGGAATGACCCTCTTTGCCATGTTCAAATAAGCGGAAGGGTCAGATATAAAAGTGTCCGGAGCTTCAGTTGCAGCCACCATCTTGACTTTTTTGACCATTCTTTGCAGACACAAGCCCTGGCCAAATATGCACGCAGTAAATATCTGGTCATCCCACCAAGAGACTCTACCAGCATTTCTCAACCTTAGCCAGTTTAAGATCTGTGGACTTCAACTCCCAGAATACCTCAAGATAGTAAAGCTGGCTGGGGTATTCTGGGAGTTGAAGTCCACAGATCTTAAACTGGCTGAAGTTGAGAAATGCTGATACTCTTGATTGCTGGCTGGGGTATTCTGGGAGTTGAAGTCCACAGATTTTAAATGTCTGAATCTGAGAAATGCTGATACTCTTGATTGCTGACTGGGGTATTCTGGGAGTTGAAGTCCGCAGATCTTAAACTGGCTGAAGTTGAGAAACCTTGATACTCTTGATTGCTGGCTGAGGTATTCTGGGAGTTGAAGTCCACACATCTCAAAATGGCTCTACAGTGTTTCCATACGTAAGGTGCTTCTTTTGTTTATTTTACAAAGGGATAATTGAACTAATTATCCCAATCCTGCATGCAAGGAGGATATTCCTACAATGCAGAGGAGTGGGCAATTAATTTTCCCTAGGGGCCACGTGAAAAACTGGAACTGTAATCGAGGGCCAACCCAAGACGGCTGTGAAGGTGTGCAGACATGCATGCAAGCATATACGTACATTGAAAATAAATAGATGTTGCTTTCAAAATAAAAACCTGGGCTGGACAGGAACAGCCAAAGGAGCGGATGTAACCCAGGGGCTGTAAAATGCCCACTTCTGCTTCAGTGTATGACTTGATATTTGAAATAATCAAATCTTTACTTCTTCATGCCTGGGTTTTTACATTCTAACATCCTAACCAAGCCATTTGCAGCCTGAGAAAATCCCGGGACTTCAAGGCCGTGCAACGGGGACCTTCCGAAGGTGCAGACTGTTTTCCCAAAACAGAAAAGAATGTGCTGGGTTGCTGAACAAAGGGTGGCCCAAATGGGGAAAAGGGGAAGTTGAATGATGCTGTTTTACGCACGAAAACTTCAGAGCTAGCTTTGCTTCTTCTGTATGGATCGATCAGTAAAGTTATACTCTTGGTAAAATAAGTCTTTTGCTGCATGTGCCAATGGGACGGTTGAAAACAAGGCAGCCCATCCCGTGAAAATATAATATTTGGAGCTCTTTGGCTGTTTTGAGCTGGCCCACTTGCTCCTACAGCTGGGCATGGACTTCAGTGAAGAAAAGGGGCCATATCTGTCATTGGACATTGGCGATTCTATTTTTATCAACAGCCGCACGAAAAAGTGCTGCTGAGTTTTGTCCAAACCAGTCCCTTAGATTTTGAAGCCATGATGTGCTTCTTCTGCCTGGACCTCGTTTGCCTTCAGTCTTTCCCTGGAGGATTAAGTGAAGTATGGCGTATTTTTCCGGGTGTCGCATCACATGTCCAAAATATTCTAACTTTTGCTTTTTTATGGTTTTGATGATTTCCCTTGGCTTATCACCTGTATGCAGTGGGGTAACCCAAGGCTCTGTCTTAGGCCCAGTACTCTTCAATATCTTCATCAATCATTTAGATGAGAGGATAGATGGAGAACTCATCAAATTTGCAGACGACATCAAGCTGGCAGGAATAGTCAACGCTCCATAAGATAGGCTTAAGATACAGAAGGATCTTGACAGTCTTGAACATTGGGCCCCATCTAACAAAATTAAATTCAATGGTGAAAAAAGTAAGATTTTGTGGGAAATCCAGTTCTCATCACTACAATACTGTATAAAAAGGATGTTGAGACTCTAGAAAGAGTGCAGAGAAGAGCAACAAAGATGATTAGGGGACTGGAGGATAAAATATATAAGGAACGGTTGCTGGAATTGGGTATGTCTAGTTTAATGAAAAGAAGGACTAGGGGAGACAGGATAGCAGTCTACCAATATCTCAGGGGCTGCCACAAAGAAGAGGGAGTCAAGCTATTCTCCAAAGCACCTGAAGGCAAGACAAGAAGCAGTGGATGGAAACTAATCAAGGAGAGAAGCAACCTAGAACTAAGGAGAAATTTCCTGACAGTGAGAAAAATTAATCAGTGGAACGACTCACCTCCAGAGGTTGTGGGTGCTTCATCATTGGAAGTTTTTAGGAAGATACTGGACAGCCACTTGTCTGAAATGGTATAGGGTCTCCTGCTCGAGCAGGGGGTTGGACTGGAAGACCTCCAAGGTCCCTTCCAACTCTTTTACTATTCTATGTTCTATGGCAGAGGTGTCAAACTCAATTTCATTGAGGGCCACATCAGGGTTGTGTTTGTCCTTGGGGTACCAGGGTGGGCGTGGCCAGGGTGGGCGTGGCCAGGGTGGGTGTGGCCAGCTCAACATCACTCGTGTCGGTGCCTATGGTGGCCCAAGCGTTCTACCAGCAAAAACAGGCTCCCAAGCTCTGTTTTCGGCTGTGACGGCTGCCTGCAACCATCTGCCAGTGAAAATGGAGCTCAGAAGGGCTGCCCGCGGTCCTCGCGAGCTCCGTTTTCGGGTGCAACAGCCTCCTGCAGAACCCTGCCAGCGAAAACAGAGCTTGCGAGGGCTGCCCATGGCCCTCCCGAGCTCCGATTTCGCTGACAGAGGCACCGCAGGCTGGTCCTTTGCTGTTCCCAGAGCGGCCTCGCGGGCCACATCTAATCACCTAGAGCCGTGATGGTGAACCTATGGCACATGTGCCAGAGGTGGCATGCAGTGCCCTCTGTAATGGCACACGAGCTGTCATTCCAGTTCAGCTCCGCTGTGCATGCACATGTGCCTCCCGCCAGCCAGCTGGTCTCCAGGTCTCTGCCGCGCATGCGGGGGGGGCACGTGTGGGGGGGCATGCATACATGCACGGGGGGATGGAGTGCATGCACGGGGCGGGGCGCGCATTGGGTTTTGGGGGTTCGGGCACGTGCATGCACATTAGCATGCGCTTTGGGCACTCGGTCCAGAAAAGGTTAGCCATCACTGACCTAGAGGGCCAGATCCGGCCCCCAGGCCTTGAGTTTGACACCCCTGTTCTATGGTGTTTCTTTCCATCACAGGGTTATCGCCTTGTGAGTTAAACCTCAGGCCAATTTGTAGACTGGGCTTGTCCCTCAGATTAACAAAATACCCTTGGCGGTAGCATCTGTCTTTTTGTTTCTGTCCAACTCTCTCTCAGCCTCATTCCTGCCCCTTGCTAAGCCATGAAAATCAGTGTATTTTTCTTATTTAGCACCCTTCCCACGGCTTCATCTATCTAATCCAATGAAAGATATCCATGATCTTTGTCCTCAGCGGAGCCTTCTGGATTTTGCAGAAGTTTTCTAGCCATCTTACGTCAAAAGGAAAATGAAATCATATCTAGGACATGGTTTCCATAAATGGATCCCCCCCCCAAATATGTTACATCAACAAAACAACTGGCAAGATGGAGGGGCAGTGAATTTCACGAGGGGGATATATATCTAATTTTGCATTCCCCTCTGATCCAGATAGGTCTTCCTTTAATGAAGTTTGGAGGATGCAAAGGTAAAA